TTATAAGAAAATTATAATTACTGCTTGGGCTGCATATAGGGATAATAAAAAACGCTTAGTATCAGTTGAAGAAATAGCGCAGCAGCCAAGATGATAGACTAGGAACCTAAAGGTATTTGAGGTCTCGAGTTCGCGTCCGACTAGTGCTAAGTAAATTTTCAAGTGTGAAAATAGAACCCGATTGACCACGATACGACTGGACACAGATTGTAATGATTGGTTCGACCTAGTAATTCACTAGATAATTCTTTTTATCGGTTGGTTGTGTCCAATCGTACCGTGGTCAATCGGGACGCTCCCATGAAAAATAGTGAGAAATCAAATAAGAGAGCTAAATTTCATTTAAAATCAATATAAATTGACTGAGCTGAATATAAATATTTTTTTATTAAGAATTTCTTATTAAAAATATTGAAAGGTTCTAGACATATTATATTAACTTTAATATAACGTTCCGTATGGTTTCCGTAAGGTTTCTGTAATGTTAATGGAATGAGCATGGACAAACATTTTCATGTTATTAGAAGGTTAGTGACAAGTGTTACGTTCCAGCCGGCCGCGGCTGCGCGGGTATGATGCAGTGCTCGGGCCGTGCTGCCGGAATCGGATCGCTTTTCTTTTAGGGTTATTCGAATCTGCGCGATTCTCCCCAGGGATCCACGCGATCCTAGATTCGCCGAACTGGATGCGGAGCAAATTTAGAGCGGGTGCATGCACGCTATTACGAGCAGGTAAGAAGATAGAGCCATTGGCTGCATTCAGCAGACTCAACAGTTGCACAACAGTTGAGTAATTTGTCAATGTAATTGGTCTAGATTTAGGGATCTAATAGCAAGAACCAATAATCGTTGATTGCTCACTGAGCGCTTTTTCTACTGAATGCGCCCATTGGCGCCAAGTGCGGATTCTGACTTACCGGCTTCCGCGCCTACGTCTCGAAGGTGTCGCTCTTATGGTCTGCATGCGCTCCTATACTGCAGCTCCCGTAGTGGTGTGGTGAGGAACTTCTCCGGCACAATGTCGAGGGCGGCAATTCCCGATGATGATTTTTACTTGAGGGTCACTTACCACACTCCCGGCATAAACCGTGCGTTTAAGATTAGGATGTTGAGTTACGGCCCGGAGTTAGGAACATAGAGTTTCACTCGGGTTCTCGAGGTGGTGGTTCTGACGCAATTAGGAAAGGAGGGACCTTGCTCGGAGGTTATGAAATCAAGAATTGATTTGTATAATAACTATATATTTTAGTAGTAGGGACATACAAAGTCCTAATTCTAGGAGAAATATTCTATAATAATCTAGGATAAGAGTTTATAATGATTAGAGTAAGATTAAGCAGTCTAGTTAATAGATCTTACGAAGTTCTTAAGAATTGAATTAGAATTAGATTTAGGATTACGATTGGGAGTTCAGCCAATGCTGGAGACTTGAGGGATAGAAAGATGTTCCGACGCCTCCGCGACTCGCTACTGCTACTGACTGCCTCACGACTGTGTACTCTCCTATCTTTCCCACCGGATTTCCTCTAGTGGGGTGGGGATTCTAACTTGGCAAAAGCGCCATCTATTTACACCCCTCGAAAGGAGAGACGGTTTAGGTTCTACCTGATGGCTCTTCTGCCTAGGGCGTACTCGGTAGGAAAAAAGAAATGTGCACCGGTATTGTCGGACGTAACACAAGTTTATTAACCTTTGTGTAATGTTACCATCTTATAATTTAAGGTTGCTATAACCTTATGGCAATATTAATGTGATGTGAGGGTATGCAAACAAATCTATCTTGTTTTGTCATTAATATACCCTAATGGCATAATTTATTGTGGACTTGCACATGCACGAATCATGTAAAAACAATACTTGCAAATAGGTTAAAACAGTGACTTTTTACTTTAGGATAATATTTGAAAAATATAATATATATTTTAATGGTTATATAACTTTAATTAAGAATAAATAAAATTTTATTAGAAAACAACACCAGATGATTTTATAATCAATAATACAATTTTACAAAATTATTATCTCATATATTTGTCACGGTATTGTTCTGCCTAACCCACTGCTTGCAGTCGTGAGACAGCATTAGGTCAGTGCTGGGAGTTCGGGATATTTTTTAGCTGACAGGAGTCCTTCTGCGCATGCGTGAGATGACGTACAGCTCGACGTAAGCAGTTTCCAATGATGGCGTTAGGCATGAGTAGAGGATTTTTAGGGGACATGCATAAAATACTTGGCCGTCTGTCTGTTGTTTGCCCGCGAGTGGTTAGGATTAGGTTAGATATAGTGAAATGTTACAATAATAAATTAGTATAATTAATATAGTTATAATAATTAGTATAGCTATATGTTGTGAAAAAATATGATAATATAATATGTATATATATTATATATTTATAATAAAGAAAATGTAATAAAAAAGTGCAAATTTAATATAAAGTGATACTGTGATAAAAAAAAGTAATTATAATATTAAGTTAACTAAAGAAAAAAGTGCCGTATTGAAGAAAGAAATGGATCAACAACAGTCTTTGTCATCAAGTGGCATCGAGGAAAAGAAGAGGAAATGTGGGAGAAGAAAATTCCAATATGCATGGTTAAATATGAATATTTTCATACGTGGCTGCAGAAATTACAAAATAAAAAATATATTTATTTTTACTCATGAACAGCATTCTGTTTCTTCCCACAAACTTTCTTTTCTCCCTACAATCCCTTCATATTTTCTTTTAGGTGAGGGATCTTACGATACCTTAAAATAGATACGGCGCTGAGGTTACCACAGCGTTTGCTCAATGCGCGTGCGCGAAAATATATCCCGAACTCCTTGCGCTGCATTAGGGCCATCACACACAAAATTACATAGACGTATGTGCATAGCATAAGATCATATGGACCAATGAGCATTGAATATTAAGTCGCCATATTGATGATTGATACTTAATATTCGATGCTCATTAGTCCATACTATCTTATGCTATGCATATGCGTCTATGTAATTTTGTGTGTGATGGCCTTTAGGATTGGATTGTCATGAATCACATAATAGTAGTAGATGGTGATGTCTATAACTTATTTCTACTCTAGAGAAATGACTCGGAGAAGTATTGGCTGTTTACGATAATTTAAGTTGGAGTAAGTACCAGTTAGTTTCACTAGGGCCGAGAAATATGATTGGCACAAGCATCTAGTATTTTCATGATATATGACAACTCAGTGCTGTCCGATAAATCGAGTAGAGTAGAATAGAGTTAGTGTAGTATAGCAGATAGTATATGTATAAGAATTAACAGTGAGTGTTTACGACAATTAGAGCTAGAGTTAGTTCCACTAGAGTCGAAAATTATGATAGGCACGACCATCTAGTATTTTTGTAGTTTATGACAACTTCTTCTAATGGCTCCTGCACACAGGACGCGGTAGTGTTTGCCGTGCGGCAGAAGTCCGCGCGACAGCCAATCAATATGTTGTTTTTGTTATTTGTTGCCGTAAGAGCTAGAAGGTTATTACGGAAAGCAGCATATTGATTGGCTGTCCTGCGAACTTCTGCCGCGCGGCAAGCATTACCGCGTCCTGTGTGCAGGAGCCATAACTCAATGTCTTACCATAGGAACAGGGAGCGGTGCATTTGGACATAGCCAATCACAGCACCGTGTGATTAGAGACATTTGTAGGGTCCCTTGGAACAGCGACTTGTGATTGGACTGTGTCCAATTGCCCCGTGTCCAACTGATATACACCCTAGGAACAAGCTGGAGTAAGAAGTAAAGAATGCGTATTCGACATCAGGTAATAATTTCATAAAATCTCACGATTATATCTATATTTTTTTAGTGTATGGTAACATTA